ACATGGTGCCCATGCGGGTGCGGGTGCTGGGGCTGAAGGTGGCCCTGAGCGTGAAGCTGATGCAGGTACGGGGGTGGCCCGGGGGGCTCGGGGACACGGGGGCTGGGGGACAGGGTGACAATGTCCCCGGTGTCCCCGGCAGGACGAGCTGCACCTGGTGGACACCCTGGAGATGCCCAGCAGCGACCCCCGGTACCTGCTGGAGCTGGCCCGGGCCCGGCGCTGGGGACGCTCCGTGCTGGTGGTGGACAGGTGAGGGGACAGGGCTGGGGACATTGGGGACATTGGGACAGGGCTGGGGACACTGGGACAGGGCTGGGGACACTAGGAACATTGGGACAGGGCTGGGGACATTGGGGACATTGGGACAGGGCTGGGGACACTGGAGACACTGGGGACATTGGACATTGGGACAGGGCTGGGGACATGGGGACATTGGGACAGGGCTGGGGACACTGGAGACACTGGGGACATTGGACATTGGGACAGGGCTGGGGACATTGGGGACATTGGGACAGGGCTGGGGACACTGGGACAGGGCTGGGGACAATTGGGGACACTGGGACAGGGCTGGGGACATTGGGACAGGGCTGGGGACACGGGACAGGGCTGGGGACATTGGGGACATTGGGACAGGGCTGGGGACACGGGGGACATTGGGGACACTGGGACAGGGCTGGGGACAGGGCTGGGGACATGGGAACAGGGCTGGGGACATTGGGGACACTGGGACAGGGCTGGGGACATGGGACAGGGCTGGGGACAGGGCTGGGGACACTGGGGACAGGGCTGGGGACACGGGGGACACTGGGAGAGGACTGGGGACAGGGCTGGGGACACTGGCGACATTGGGGACAGGGCTGGGGACACTGGGAGAGGACTGGGGACATGGGGACATTGGGGACAGGGCTGGGGACACTGGAGGTAAGGTTGGGGACACGGGTCAGGGCTGGGGACATTGGGGACATGGGGACAGGGCTGGGGACATTGGGACAGAGCTGGGGACATTGGGGACATTGGGCACAGGGTTGGGGACACTGGGAGAGGATTGGGGACACTGGGGACATTGGGGACATTGAGGACACTGGGGACAGGGCTGGGGACATTGGGGACATTGGGGACACGGGACAGGGCTGGGGACGTTGAGGACACTGGGGACACTGGGAGAGGACTGGGGACACTGGGGACAGCAGGGTGGGCGGGGTTGGGCACAGTGGGGACAGGGAGGAACGGGATGTCCGTGGCACTGGGGACAGCATGCCTGGGTGTCCCTGCCTCGGGGACACTTTGGGGACACGGCCACCCCCTCTTTGTCCCCTCGCCAGCGATGAATTCCCGGAGAACATCAGCGCCGCCGCCGAGGGGCTCAAATCCATCACCCTCATCCCCGCCCTGGGTGAGCCCCCTCCCTTCCACCGCCCTGCAGACGCTCCGGGGACCCCTCTGATGTCCCCAGCGTGTCCCCAGCGTGTCCCCAGCGTGTCCCCAACGTGTCCCCAACGTGTCCCCAACGTGTCCCCAACGCGTCCCCGCAGGGCTGAACGTGCACAGCCTGCTGAAGCACCAGACGCTGGTGCTGACCCTGGGCGCCGTCGCCTTCCTGGAGCAGCGGCTGCTGTGGCACGACTCCCGTTACTCGGCGCTGGTGCCCTTCTCCCTGCCCCACCGGGACCTCCCGTGGGCCTGAGCCCCCCGGGTGGGATCTGTCACCCTTGGGTGGGAATTGTCACCCTTGGGTGGGATCTGTCACCCCCAGGTGGGATCTGTCACCCTCGGGTGGGATTTGTCCCCTCCATGGGTGGGATCTGTCACCCCTGGGTGGGAATTGTCACCCTCGGGTGGGAATTGTCACCCTCGGGTCAAATTTGTCACCCCCGGGTGGGATTTGTCCCCTCCATGGGTGGGATTTGTCACTCCTGGGTGGAAATTGTCACCCTCGGGTGGGATCTGTCACCCCCGGGTGGAAATTGTCACCCCCAGGTGGGATCTGTCACCCCCGGGTGGGATCTGTCACCCCCGGGTGCGAATTGTCACCCCCGGGTGGGATCTGTCACCCTCGAGTGGGATTTGTCACCCTCGAGTGGGATTTGTCCCCTCCATGGGTGGGATTTGTCACTCCTGGGTGGAAATTGTCACCCTCGGGTGGGATCTGCCACCCCAGGGTGGGATTTGCCCCCACCCGGGTGGGATTTGTCCCCCCAAACTGGATCCAGCCCCGGTCCCATCGGGAATTCAGGAATTTCGTCAGGAATTCAGGAATTTCGTCAGGAATTCAGGAATTTCAGCGCTGCTGTGGCCATTAAAGGGATTTTTTCACCGATGTTGTTTTTATTTTGGGGGGGGGTTTGGGGGTTCCCACCTCCTTTTTTGGGGCTCTCCCCATACCCCAATCCCTCTGGGACCCCCCCAAATTCCATCTCCTTCGGGGTCCTCGCTTATCCCAGCCCCCTCCCCAAATTCCCAACCCCCAAAATCCCAAACCCTTCCCCAGCCCCGCGGGTTTTTCCACAGATTCCGTCCCTGTGGGTGGAATTTCGGGAATTTCGGGAATTTTGGGGTCCTGGTGGCAGAGGGATTTTTATCTCTGTGTGTCCCCCCCACCCCAAAAACGTCCCCAAATGTCCCCATCCCGGGCCCCCTCCCGTCCCACGCCGGCCTCCGCTCGGGAAGGTGGGAGCCGGAAAAGGAGGAAATTCGGGAAAAACAATCCTGACCTCATCGGATTCCTTGGAAATTCGGGGCGTGGGGGGGGGCTGGCCTTGCTCGGGGGAAATTTGGGGAGCCCCCCCTCATTCCCAGGCATCCCACGGGGAAATCTGGGAAAGGCGGGGGGGGGTCGAGGTTTGGGGGAATTTTGGGGATCCCGAGGGGAATTTTAGGAATCTCCCGGGTCCCTCTGGGGGTGCCGAGGGTGCTGGTGTGGGTTTTGGGGGAATATCCCGGGAAAAAAAATCGGGAAATTGGGAATTTTGAGGCTGGGGACCCAACTTTGGGGGGGGACTGGGATGCAACTGGGAGGAACTGGGACCTTCCCGGGTGGAAGGAGCCGCTGGAATTCGGCACCTCCTCCTCCTCCTCCTCCTCCTCCTGGGGTT